AGGTCCCCCTACGTTCTCTTCAAAGACGGACGGCATGCTTGCTGCTGCATGTTACTCTAGAGGATCCCAGACAATGTTAACAGATAGAGCTTGCTTACACTGATATGCCATTGTTGTTGAACGGAAACAAATAAGTTCAATCGGTTGAAGTGGTGAAGGCGGTGGAACATGATGTGACTTTGTTAGTGCGTGCTCAAGACCATGTAATTAGATAGAGCTTGCTTACACTTATGTGCCATAGTTGATGTACTGAAAAAAGTAAGTTCAATCGGTTGAAGTGGTGAAAGTGGTGGATGCGGGGGTGTCATTAAGTGAGTTTGACCGAATTGATATCTGAAGGGTCCAAAAGTTCAACAATCACGGAAAACCCATATCAGGTTTAGCTAGAGTCAGCGGAGCCAACGACTCTAGCTAAACCTGATGATACTCACTTCCAACATGTTGATATGGAGATGTTGCCTCGTCGACTTGGGGTTGGATTGTTAGGTGGTGAGACGTAATAATTGACCACATACTTGATGTCCTATCAAGGAACACCTGATTGTTAAATACCGAGTGTGAAAGTCGACAAGCCAGCGCGTACTAACGTTGTACAGGTTCAATATGTCAATTGATTGGGTATCATTGACTTGCTCGCTGAAATAACGGTCGGTGTCCGAATTGGGGAAAAACGCTTGAAGACGGTGAAAATTCAACTTATGATCTTGAGGTGTGGCTGGTTCTTGAGGCGGGTAAATATCCAATTCTTGGATTAACTATTGGGTACGTCGTCCAAGAGATGAGTGTCCGCGTCAACATATTTCTGTACTTGTGGGTGGGGGTTAGGGGTTGAATCTCACTTCAATCTGAGTACAAACACAGTGATAAAACTTGGATTGAGATAGTGGCTCTTTGTTGTTGGGAGGTCGAGTTGAAGGTGGAGTTTGCCATTCAAGAGATCGTGGTTCAGGTGGGTCGTTTTTGGTGAGCTCGTTCTCGTTGTTGGGTAGCATGATTGACCTAAGATATCTGCGACAGTGATGACAAGAAAGATGGTGAGAGAGGCTGGGAAGAAAGATGTGAGGAGATAGATTTTGTTCGAATACTATGTAAGGAAACTATAACCGCCAGAAGAAGGATGACGCGGTGGGTCTGAAAATACAGATGCAGTCAGGAGGTAGGCTAGACTTCGTGTTAGGTCAGACTTTGTGAAACTTTGACTTGACACATCACAACCACAATCTGGCCGCATCAGGAATCAGCAGTGGTTAATTTTTTGCCCCGCAGCACGTGTCTGACAGGACACGTCACGATTACGAAGCAAGGACGTTGCAACGATATCTCCAGCTTATCAGCTTCTCCGTTCACGTTCAACTCGGATTCATTTGAGCAAGGGGTAATGCTGCAGTGAAAAGATCACTGTCATTACCGATGTTTTGTAACAGATGACTACTACAAGTCTTCAGACATGCCTCGAAATAGTGTCATGCACGGCGCCAGTCCACAATGTCGCCGTGCCTGGCAAAGGTGTATACTGGTGATGTGGGAGGCAATGCACGGATCATGTCCGTGGATAAGGGTTTAGTTTACAATGACAAATTGAGAGTGTGAATGTTTTGGCAAGGACAACGTCTACAATACATGTTAGATCGTGTGGAGACCAGCCTTTTTATCCGTAGGTCTCTCATATAATGGAAAGCTTCTACACATAATACTCGATGTGTGAAATAGATTGAGCAACTAGGATAGAGGCGGGTTTTTTTGGAGTGCCGTCGATGTATGTAGGATCGAGGAAATTTTGATGTTGATTAGTTTACTGAGGAGTTGGAATGTTATGAGTAGAAGAGGTACTTGTGAGTGGATTAGGAACTTGGTTGGTAATGGCCACAACCGTGTACCGTTGTGCTAGGATGTCTTCATACCAAATCTGCATTACACCTCTATCGTTCATTATCGCGGCTGGGCCCTCTGCGAGCATCTGGGCGGTTACCTTGGAATCTGGGGTTTGGTGGACTGCAAGTCGGATCTTGTTGGGAAAATCGATGCCTCGCAATCAAATATCGTAGTGTTTCTTCTTTGGATGTATATGAACCCTAGGCTTCACTAGCTTGGGGTTAACTTTCTTAAGGTGGTCCACTGGTGTGCAGTATGTGGGACCATGGTCAGATACAAATCTGACCATCACAGGGATGAAATAAGTTAAATTGCAAGTAGAAACAAGACTTACAGACAAGCTGATTCAAGGCGAGCCGGAAGTCCTTACGTAGTTGATTGTTTGGAGTGACGGCGGGGGTTTTGGACTGGCGAGTTGTATGGTTGCGACCAGCGACAAAACGGTCAAATCGTTCGAGGATGTGATTGCCAAACGAGAAAGCGCTTAGGTAGACAGGGTCAGAACTAAACTCCTTACTCCATCCGGCGTAAGGGTTGGTGGTAGTGGGGCCCCAAGAAGCGGCCAACAGGTGGTAGTGCATACCATAGGTCTTGTGGGCGGCTTGAAGCTGGAAAATGGATGAGGCGGAGGACAAATCAGTCAGTTTAGTAGTTACAATTGAGGAGAACAAGAACAAGATACATTTACTTACCGATGAATGGATGAATTCCATTTGTTTAATGCCCTTTTCTTGGAACTTAGCAATTTGGTTAACATTGCGGCTAAGTGCAAGTTCGTCTTTGAGTTTTCGAAGGTTGATGAGTCGCTCATACGTGGGACGGAAGGCTTCTTCTTCAGCGGACAGGTGTTCGTGAGGTGAAAGGTTGGCGGTGTCATTGCAAATCACTAGAGTGATTCAATTAAACAGGGGTGTACGAAAAACCTCAATATCTGGAGAGGCCTTGATATCTTGCCACACCGCACAAACTATCTTGTTGTACAACCCTAGTCCTACAACATTGCTAGTTGGAGGCACTGACGGTTAAAAGGGTGGTGAGGTGAGCTCTCGAGGCAAGGGTTTGAAACAAAGGTGAGGGACTCACTTATATTGTCAAGCGTCGCGGTCTTGCTGAATTTGCGGAAGCGGTGGTAATTCTTGATCTCATTCTCGCGCACGGCACGATGACTGTTTGATAGAGAAGAGAGATCAGAAATGGAGAGAGTGAGAAGCGAGGGGAAGGTGCGGCTTAACACTCCGTATTTAAGTGTGTCATACGATATCCCACCGGCAATACTCAAAACTTGTAGCCGTGTGGTGAGTTTGTCTTCAAGCAATCTGGCTTCATCCAGTATGGTAGGTGGGATGCGATTGTTTCCTTTAGCCTTGGTACACGTAAGGTAATGGGTAAGTTCGGCACTACTCCATGTGTCGGCAAGCTCTTTGTAATTTTCCAGGGTTGGGGCTTTTGGGGGCTCGTTGTACTTATATTTTTTCCTCGCCTTTTTCTCTTCTTGGGGACGGGGGGGCTGCTGAGTCATTGTTGTTGTCTGAAGTCAATGTGGCCAGAAATCACGTGAGCTTGAATACATAAGATGGGTGTGTTGGAGGAGACGACGTACCTTCGCCGTCTTCTGAGTCAGGATCTTCTGGGGATATGTCTCTAGACTTCAATGGAAAGTCGTCATTGGAGTCATTGGAGTCATCTGAGTCATCTGAGTCATCTGAGGCGGTAAGTTCTCAGCTTCCAGAAACTTCTAGGAAACGTGTAATGGAACACACAAACTTACTTTTGAACGATGCAGAATCCCCTGGATTGGAATCATCAAGTGCTTCTTTCAGATGGAACCCCAGATGTATTAATAAAACAAAAGCAGCCATCAGATTGAACCAGGATTGATAAATGTAGTATGTACGTAAGGAAGGTCAGACCTGCATGTGACGTGATACAAGTGGATCTTCTTGCCACGTTAGAAGCCTAGGTGGGAGGGGGTTCCTTAGTGGCACGGGTGGTCGGCATGGTTTGAATGCGGTGCTAAAGTCAAAGTTTGATGCGAAGTTTGTTGTTGGTGTACAAAGGGATCGATAAGGTGTGAGGCTGAGAGAGTGGAAGAACTGAAAGAAAAACACACAGGGTCGGGATTAGGAGATGTGGGGTACGTGTACGTGTGCAGGCAGAAACTGTGACCGACCTGTGGTTGGGTAGGTTGGGTACGTAGCTTACGTCTTAGGTTACAGGTAAATAAAGGTCATGCGTCATAAACAGTGAGACTTGGTGAAAGGTTAGATAGACTTGTGATTGGTTTGCTGTGAAGGGGGGGGAGTGGTGGGTTTGTTGTATGGGGGTATGTGACGTTGCATGGGGTATGGTATGTCAACTGGTGGGTGCGTTCTGAGGTGGGCTGGTACGATCAACGACAGGTGGGTGCGTTCTGAGGGGTATGGTATGATGGTCGACTGGTGGGTGCGTTCTACGTGGGTGTACCGCGGGTGTTTGGGTTGGGGGTAGTGTGTATGTACCAGCCTGACGGTACCTTATCCAAAAGGGGTCACACCACAAATTTCTGTTATGGTATAGGTATACCTTAATACAAAAGCGTCACACCACGAATTTCTGTGGTATACCTTAATACAAAATTGCATCTTGCCTTATGCTCGATCACGCCAGAGAACTGCCAAAGGCGTTGGTGTAGGTGTGAGGCAAGTCGGCTCTGTCCAAAAAAGATAGTGGCATCTCAAAAGAAAGGAAGTCTAAGTCTATTTATCTCTCAAAAGAAAATGTGGATGTTGCATGATAGTTGTCGTCAGTTCACTTAGCTATCTATATGTACAAACAATGAATCAATCAATCACAGGATATCACGTATTGAATGTTATTGTAATAAGATCAATCAATCAATTGCACGTCTATGCTAGCAAGATCAGCTTTGTCAGACATTCTTGCAGAATGCACAAGATTGAAGACATGTGAGAAAGTGAAAGGGGGTGATGTGGTGGTACGTGGAGGGTTATGCAAGGTGATTGATAATTGATTCAGTGTACATGTGTCTGAGGTGGATGGGTGGGTACATTTGGACCAGACGTGAGGTAGTAGCCGCAGTGGAAATTGATTAATATGAATGTAGGTAGGTCTGTGTCTTGAAAGGTATGTTCATGGTGTATACTGCTGGGTTTGGTTTTGAACTTGGGTGGAAAGTTCACCGGGGGGTCAGGTTTACAGGTGTGGTGTGACTTGACGATATGCGGGGTGGAGTTTCATGATACAGTGGTTGGATTCTTTTTAAGGGTGGGATGCTTTGCTTTAGGTGTGTAGGGTTGTGAGAGGGTCGTCGAGTGGGTTGTGTGTGTCCCTTAAGGAAAGTTCACCGGGGGGTAAGGTTTACAGGTGTGGTGTGACTTGACGATATGCGGGGTGGAGTTTCATGATACAGTGGTTGGATTCTTTTCAAGGGTGGGATGATTTTTTGAAGGCGTGTAGCGTTGTGAGCGGGTTGGCGGGTGGGTTGTGTGTGTCCCTTAAGGAAATGATGACTTAGCCATTTCAAGATCTTTCGAAGATGCATCCTAAGATGCAACTTCATCTTAGCAGTGTGCAGTCAAATACCATTGGGTGATAGGTACGTCCTTATGCCCTAATAGTATTAGGTACTTACCTAAGTGCTCAGGTGGTATAATCCTTCGAGTGCATCTTATCTGACATTCGCAGGTAGTTCTCCAGAGAGGTATCAATTGTGTCAGTTTCTTCATCATTGTCCTCTGAGTCATCATGGAACATCGTAGGTTGTTTGGCAGATGAGTTGGAAGCTGAGTTTTGGTCTTGTTGGGAAGGGCCAGGTTTTTGACAAGGTGAAATGTGTTCGTATTCTGAGTAAATTTGACGCAGGGTAGACTCAACCTTCAATGGAATTACTCCAGATTTGCCACCAAACCGCTTGGTGAACACGGCATCGCTGGTACTCAACTGGTCGACCTTTTCTTGTAACTTGTGTTGGAGCTCGACATACTCAGGTATGACCATACAACCTGTAGGCCCGTCGCCTTCCATCCTGAGGGTGGTTTCAAGGAATATCTAATGAGATGAATCATTAGCAATAGTCCAAATGATACAATGATGGATGTACATATCTTACCTCGAGTTCAATATTGATGCGCCGGACTTGAGCCCACTCGGAAGTTGTCATTTCCAAAGAATGGAAGTAACCATAAGGCTTACCATTCTTTCTTGGGCGGCGACCAACGGCGAGAACTCGGTCCAAATCTTCTTTACACAGTTGATTGATAACCTGCAGAAAGAATAAGTTAGCAGAAGGAAAACACCAAAAGTATCGCACTGAATCTTACATCCTTTGCAAGCCAGGCCTTGTGCCGACTCTCATACTTGATGTTCCACCTGATACCATACCCAGCAATGAGGGAGCCTTTGAAACACAGCCTTTGAAACCTTTCTTTGCACTTACACGCTCAAATTATTTGCGCCATGCCGCTGAGCGTGTGATACGCCTGATGATAAAGTCGATCTATAATGACAAAAAGACATGTCAGTCAGTCCAATACCAATATCTCAGCAACAGAGAACAGAACTCGTACCTTGCGTAGAGTGAAGTCGACATCATTAGCTGCTCGACGATGAGTTGGAGCCACTTCTGCTTCCAAAACAACAGCCGGAATGACATCATCCTCAGCATCGGCAAGGTCCCAGTCATCCTCGTCATTGATTGGAGCCGCTGCCTCTTTAATTGCTTCTTGAGGTTGTGAGTCGTCCAAATCATCCAGATCGTGTTCAGCAACTTGATCTTCTGGCAGTTCTTCTTCGTCCTCCTTGGTGATGGTACCAATAGTTGGAAAGATGCCACAAGCCGCCATTTTGACTTTAGCTGGTGACGGCGCCTTGATTCCAAGCACCTGATTCCAAGTGCAGCAAGTCCTGCGTTGACAATCAAAGCCAATTTATGGCAAAAACAAAAAACATGCATAGATTCCGGGTTCCATTGATACTTAATACCAGGTACTGGTGGTTGTAATAAAAATTGATGGTGCATCTTGGTGGCCATTGTCTTGTTATTTGATCCGGAGTCTGTTGTCTGGGATAACATGTAAAACCTCAAACAAATACTGAGGTCAGTATTAGATTAAGGCTGGTGAAATCAAAACACAAAAAATTGGAAGTACTTATCTTCTGGTGAATGCCACGCTTAACCAATAAGTGAACAATAGGCTCTGCAAGCCATGGACCGTGGTGGTGCCACGCGACGACCTTAAGACTAACATGTCAAACATGATATGTCCACTTTGGATCGATGAAAGTCACGGAGGCTCCGATGAAGCCGTGCCAATTCCCCTTGCTGGTCCAGGCATCATGGACGAGGTTGAATTGTGAAGTTAATTGCTGGGATGATGATCAATCGGGCTTGGTAAGTAATGAATTTGAAAATTATGCGAAGTTGATTGAATTGTACACCTGACATTCAGTTCCTTGAAAACGTTTTCTTTCAATGAGGCGTTGATATGCCTTGCTTCTTTCGCTGCCCATTTACGTCGGAACAGCTTGGCATCCCGTCGCAAGTAACTCACCATGGCTTGCAAGAGCGGATCTTCCACTCGAGACCAGGGAAGCGCGTGCCTGATTCACCACGTGCAAGTCATCTGGTTGAAGGTTTCGTTGTTAAACTTGAGGCCAGGAGTAACAGTGACAAAACCATCTAGAGTTGATCCTTCCTTTTGTGCAGCCCGGCGTTCGGCCACCGAAGGAGGAACTTGAAGAGATTTATCCTCTTGAGCTTTGACTTGGCCAGGACAGCCGATGTCAGAGCGGCCTGCCAGGGTATATCCATCACGGTGATTCCGGAGGGCACCCGTCATGTTGCTGTAACTAACTCAAACAGGGTCATCTTTGTCTTTGGGGCAGAACCGACACGGGTACGCGATTGGTGGCTTTGATCTGTCCTGAAATCCCAGAAACGACCGAGACCGGGATAAAGACATGATGTTAGAAAGGGGTAAGAAATTGAAGCAAAGCAACATAGAGAAGAATGAGAATGACATGATGAAAACTAAGAATCTTACATCTCCTGGTTCGTATATTGGGTCATCATAGTAAGCCCTCAGTCTACCTAAGTCACTTTCCGGATGGTCTTTCTTCATCCTCTTTGGCGGTTTCTCGCTTACAAACTCCACATCAGAATCAGCCTGTAACATTCCTTTCGTGACATTAGACAATACATTCTAAAATGGGTTGGAGAAAGCATGAGTCGTCATCACAAACAAAGCGAGTTGAATCAAGAAAGAAAGACCTACTTCTTCTGATGTCTTGATGACCTTCTCCTTGCGGGTTTTGGAAGAGCCAAACTTGTTTTTGCTTGGAGAAACACTCGCATCGGATTCGTATTCCTCTTCCGCCGTATCAGTGCCAGAAGGTGCCTTGTGCTTCTTGTTGGTTTTGTCAGTTGGCGGTTGTTCGCTGATGTCAATTCTTCGACGTGAGTCAGGAGATGGGGCAATCATCCCTTCACGGTTGACCTGCTTTCTGATACGAATTGGTCTCAATGGGGTGGTGTCCAATTCTTTGACATGGTAGGTACGAGGCTGGGATGACATATTGATTGAATTTATAGTAGGTTGATGTTGGACGATTGTGCCGGTGGTGTCAAATAAGAGAGGAGAATTTGATGAGGACAAATAGAAATAGTATTCAGATGGGGTGGGAAGTGTCTGAACAGATTGGAAGTAGGCACTGCCAACATATTTGGCTCGGATACCAAAATCCGAGGACTCCTCGGATTTTGTATCCGAGACATTCACTGACTTATATCAAGCGAGACATCACCGACTTGATGCATACGATATAATGCATCTGATTTAATCATCCGACCATTCACCGAGGCTATCTTGAACCGACATTTCATCCAACTGAACCCTTCCGACCATTCAGCGACCCACTCACTGACCCAATTGCCTCATCCGAATCAACCCCACCGAGTCATCAACTGACCAGCAATTTGGATTTCCGAGGTATGAACATAAGGATAAGTCGAATTACCTAGTTAGTTACTTCGGAAGCCACGGTTCCACCCGACTTGATGCTCTTTTTGACCAAGGTTTCGAAGATCCAATGCGACTCAACCTATCTTTCCACCGACCCAACTCAGCTCTCCACTGATCTTAATGTACACTTCACCAAGCCAAGATGACCACCATCCGAGTGGAATCAAACAGAGTCACCTTAAGTATTGATACTTAACACCCTATCTGTTGATTCGATTCCAGGTTTTTTCATCTTGAAAACAAGCCAATCACTCTACACTTCAATCTTAAACACTTCAATCAACCTTCATCCACATCTAGTGTAAGTTTTTCACTCTCAATCTTTTTGGTCCATCTCTTGTACCAAAGTACTGATAGATAACAGTCTCTTTGTTGGTTCGCTTCTAGGTCAATTCATCATACACTATTCAATTTTCCAAATCAAAACTTCAATCACACTTCAAGCATATTTCAGGCAAGTTTTTAACTGTGGGTTCTTTTGATATATCATTCCTAGTGAAGTATTGATAATTAATAGTTGTCTGTTGATTCGATTCTAGATCAATTACTTTCAAAGCAAAACCCCAGACCTTCCAAACTTCAAAAACAACACACCTCAATCAATCTCCAACCATATGTATAGTAAGTTTTTCACTTGAAGTTCTGTCATTTCATCTATTATATTGAATTATTGATCATGACTGCTGTTTCTGTTGAGTCGCTTCCAGGTAATCCATTCTTACAACAAATCCAACCTTCTCCAAACTTCAAAACCAGAAAGTTGAATCAATGTTGGACCATCTGCATAGTAAGCTTTCCACTTGGACTTCTGTCAATTGATTGCTTATAATCAAGTGTTGACAATCAATGCTATCTATGTCATTTCGCTTCTAGCCTCTTTCATTTTAAAAACAAACCCAACACTCAATCCATCTCCTGATTTCCTACCATAGTTGATTGATCTGACTTCTTCCAACCCATCCCTTGTACTTAAGTTTCCATAAATGATATTCTTTCTGTTTGTTTTGGTTCTAGGTTAAATGGTTTTACAAATAAACAAGTACCTTCTACACTTCAGAATCAAACATGTCAATTGATTTCCAACTACATCCAAAGTAAGTTTGTGATTTGGATTTTGGAAGGCAAGTTTTACACTCTGATTTCTTTTGATACATCTTTCATACTAAGTCTTGACTAGCAAATTACTGGTGGATATCACAGCCCAAAGATTACATTTCGCCTTGCTGAGTTGGAGATAAGTGCATGTATGTATATTGAAATGTGATCTCAGATTTGGATGTCAAAAATTATTCTATGGTAGAAGAAAAACTTGGTTGATGAGTTTACTTTCTATTGATACAAGATATTCAAAGTTGTACCCAATACACATATTATTTCAATTATGATGAATGAAGGACTTGAGGCCTTAGGAAAACATAGAGGCAGTCACATGATGATTTGAAACATGTGCTATCAAACACTTGATCAATTAAAGACAAATAGTCATTTTTGCAGATTTTACAGATTGCATGGATTGATGAGTTCTTATTGAACACATACAGCTCAATTCTATGTTTGTATACTGCTTTGTGTAATTAAGACACTGTAATCTTACCATTTGAAGTAGATATATGTTGATGATAAAACAATACAAGTCAGCTTGATGAATATCAATTTTCACTTGATTTATTACTACCAGTAATATCAGTACCAATAAGACAAATAGAGCAAACCAAAGAACAAAATTGATCAATTTGTTTTGTTTGTTTTGTTTGTAGAAATGATCCACTATACTATGGGTACATACACCCTATAAAACTATTAGTGATATTAGTAATATAGTACTATTATTGATATTAGTAGTAGCAGTAGAATCACAGCGGAATGATGTGTGCTTGTAATGGGTATGAAGGCTTTGTTACAGTATCTCCTGAAGTAAATTTGAGCCTGTGAATGAGCAACCCCCTTTCTGCATTGCCAATTGTTTTTCTAAACCCAATGTCACTGCAAGAAAAGTTCCAGTACTCAAATAAAACCTTTTGTTTTGTCTCAAATATGGTAGTTCCTCAACTGTCAAGGTTATCTTACTTCTAATCTGATACTGTAATCTCTTCCACACCATCTATGAATGAACTCACAAAATGAGTGGATCAATACCAAATGAAACTCCATCAACACTATCATCCAAGAAGTATGTATGCTACAATCAAAATTTGCCTTGATCAGCCCTGTAACCCAGTTCCAGTCTATTCCCTCATTAACAATGATACCAACCAGTAAGTACTGCTATGGTTAAGGTCATGGCTGGGGTTTCTCAACAAGGGTCAAAGATCTGGTTTCTGATGTGCTATTCAGATTGCGATAGTAATATAGTAGTACTAGTCACTGCATCCGCCAGAGCCGTTCCCGACGTTGAGATCGTGATAAACTACAAAGGGGCCCTTTGTAGTCGGCAACATTCTCGACATCGAGAACGACTCCGGCGGATGCAGTGAGTAGTACTACTGGCACATCAGCCCTAGAGTACTATAGTATGGTCAATGTACTTAAACACTACAGTACTGTTTATACTATTAGTTTGTGTCAGCCGTATTTGTACTATAGTACTATTGGTACTATTGGTACAATACACAATGAAAACTATAGTACTATAGTACAATTAGTACAATACACAAAGAAACCTATAGTAGCATAGTACAATGTGTACAATACACAATGTAGAATATAGTACTGTAGTACAATTAGTACAATACACAAGGAAACCTATAGTAGCATAGTACAATTGATACAATACACAATGAGAACTATAGTAGTCATAGTATGGTACTATTAATACTATATTACTACAGGACTATTAGTACTATAGTACTATGGAGACCATTAGCTCATCCACCTTATAGTACTATACATACAGCAAGGCAATGAGGAAATAAGAAGCATTGAGTGATTTGTACTCCATTTACTCAAATATATTGAATGACCAAGTTGAATAACACATGTATTGATGTTAACAGATGGCAAACAACAGTAAACTTGTCAAAAATTGTATGATGAAA